TTAAAACGTTTAATAAAGTGGTTCTTTTCCATCTCAAATCTCTCAAAAAATTGTTCCACCTCTTTTTCCTCCTTAATCGTCTTTACTTTATACAAATCCGATTGGTTATTATTTTTCTGATCATCATACGAGGTCTCACTCAAATTTTTACCAAAAATCTTTTAGCTTTTATTTTAAAGGGTATCTTTAAATAGTTAAACACAATGCTGCAAATCTTCCCCGAATATTCTTTTAAAGCTTCGTTATTCTCAAAAATTTTGTGGATACTTTTATTGCTTTCCTTATCACACATTTCCAATTTGTCCAAAAGATTTGTAAATTCCATCTCTTTCAATTCATATAAATAATCTCGCAATTTCTTAAAAAATTTTGTCATTGGAAATTTCAAATTTTGAATCAACATTATAAGGCGTAAAGTTGTCTTAGAAATTATTAAATTGACAATATAAATGAAAATATGTAGAGCTCAGCGCTATTCCATACCTTATTAGAAGTAATCAAGGAGCTCAACGAAGAATTAAGTTATTTACAATGCTATCTCATATAATATAGAAATTTCGTTTGTAATTCTGGATCGTAATATTTTTAGTGTGTCTATATTAAAGCTCGGCCTTAACACTTATTAAATTTTATAAAATCTATGTGTTATAGTTAATCATTACGGAATGATTCCTCCTAGAAAAATTTTAAATGTCTGGTCTTTTAATGTTAGCCTTCCCGCTTCTTTCTTATATCATAGACTAACCTCAAAATTATTTTTGAGTGTTTTGGACGTCTTTTTTGAATTTTTTATGACTTCATAACGTTTGTTGAAATACTCCTTAAACCTTTCAAATGTTGAAGCATTTTTAAAGAATTGAAGAATACTTTTATCAAACTTTCTTATTTCTATAACTTTGTTAAAACATGATTGTATATTGTCTATATCTGTTATAGTTTTAATAAAAGGAAGTACAATTCCTTCAAATTCTTCTTCATTTCCAATTTCTACTACTTTAGCTACCATTTCCTTTATCAATGGCTCAAGATTTTTAATCAAATTTTTATTATAATTTTCAGCTTCCCCGTTTTCAGCTCGATCTTTTACATTTTTTAGCTTTTCATGGTCAACAACTGATCCTTCTACTTTAGGCGATTCAGGATTAATACCTCCACTAGCATTAACCGAAGAAATCTCCACAAAAGTAGTAAATAAGATTAAAAAAGAATAAAGAACGAAAAAATGCCAAAGAAGCTTGGGCAGCATTCTGGCCAATTTTTTGTCTAAATTTAAAATTATTTTTTATTTTTATAATTTAAAAATTAAAAGAAATTTTAAATGTATGGAATTAAAAAATTCTCTTTTCTCAATTCACCTTTAACTTATGTAACTATTGGAAAAAGTGAGTCGAGTTTACTAATGTTGCCCGAAAGGAGCAGACAGACTATATAAAAATAAAACCAGAAAATGCCTCGAATGCTGGACAAACTCGAAAAACGCAGCTGTGTATAAAATCGAAGCATTTAGGACATCTCCTCGTCTGTCTGTCTCAGCCTTAAGAGTAGTCAGGGCTGGGAGAGATAAAAATCGAGGAGTAAATTAATAGGGCAAAATGGGGCTGCCGAAAATGTGTCTAATCAAATGTCCAAGCTTTGGTCATAAATATAAATTCGAATGCTTTTGAATAAAAAGTATGTGGGAAAAGGGCAAAATGCCCGCATGATTTTAAAAAAGAGAGTGTGAATTTGAATTAATTTTTATATAAAATTAATTAAATAATTAATTAAAAATTTCAGCATGTTTTGATTTTTCCTTAAATCTCTCAAGTTTAAATTATATTCACTATAAATTCTCGAAATTTTCGTAAATTGTATTCGGCATGAATCGGTGTCGATGACGAAATTGAAGATTTAAAGATTAAAAATATTTTTTGATATTTTTTATATTTTTGTGGAATTTTGTTTATTATTTTTGCAGTGACTCATTGAGTCAATTTCCATTTTTGACAATATTTTTGTATACTTTTTGCTATGTACTTTACATTGCATCATTTTTATTATTGTTATTTCTGCCTACAAAAGACAGGCAGAAATTTCACTTTTCAATGTTTTTGTGAACATTAATTCTTTATAAATATCTGTGTGATATTTAGAGATAAAGATTTTTAGTTGTGTAATTTGTGTTTATTTGGTTTTTATCTGGGTTAATTATTCTAAGGGAATAATTAATTCTGAGATAATTTAATTCCCTATTAAATAAATAGGAAGGTGAAATAGTTTTCCTAGGAAAGAGGAAAGTATTTTACAATCGATACACCGCGAAAAACTAAATTAACGGTTGGTACTAACAGTTTTAAACACTAAATCCGACGGTTGGTACTAACAGTTTTAAACACTAAATCCGACGTTTTCACTACCCCTGCAAAAACTGAATACGAGTTCGGGTAAAATTTAAATTTCCGAGATAACTTTTAATTTTTATCTTAACAGAAATTGACAAAAAAAACTCGTCTAAATTCCTGTCAAACGTCGTAAGATAGACTGAATTGAATCGCTAGACGTATTTTGCTCGCCACACGCGTATCCTATAGCTCACCAGACATTTAAATTTCCTTCGCCCTACCACTCCCTTTCTATAACAGTGAAGGAGAGGTTTGAATTTACTCTCGCTACCTGGGTTAAATTTTTAAATGAAAAATCACTAAAGGGCATTTTCAAGGAGTGAATGCCAAAAACGCCCGCATGCCTTAACAAAAATTGAGTTTGACTTTGAATAGAGAAATTTTTATATTGATTTAATTAAATTAATTAAAAATACAAGGAATGTTTTTTTGACTTCATTAGATAAAACAAACTTAAAGTTTTACTCAAATAATAACCAACAGATATTACCTACTACAGCTAGATATTGAAGAAATAATTATCCCCTCAAAATATAATTACCCCCTTTAAAATAACCTCATATGTATAATTTAACCAGCATCTATTAAATTCCTCCTCCTTGCCCGAAAATGATTTTGCCGAACAAAATTTAATTTTATTTGATGATAATAAAACATAAAAACAATGTTTTACATTAATTTGCTTATATTAGTGTAGGCTTCCATTAGAGACTGGGCTTATATTTTTCGATAGGCTTTCTCAGTTGGGCTTATATTAGAGATGGGCTTCTATTAGAGCCGGGCTTATATTAGAGCATTTATGTACGGCAATTAAGTAAAAATCTTAAAATATTAATATATTAACTTCAAATTTTTTTATATTTCCTTATTTTTGGAAATAAAAGTGTTGTAAAATCTGAGATGGAGAACTAGCTAGGCGATACTCCAATCTAGATCAATCCGTGAAGGTTTTAACTTTAAAATTTTGATATCAATTGCCTTACAAAATTTGATCGATTCGTTTTGTTGCATTTTATAAATTTGACCCTACTAACTTTAATAATATAACTAACAGGTTTTCAAACTAGTTGCCGGTTTTATTAATTTTTAAATACAAATTTCTGAGGATATTTTATTTAATTAATTTACTTAATAATTTAAACAATATAAATTTTTTCTTCTGTCTGTCAATTTGTCGAGAGACGAGCTTTTTTGCCAATAAAACCTTGTGAATGCACTCTATTTAAAAGCATATGACTTTAAAGGCATTTGACTTTAAATGCATATGACTTAATGTCATGAGACAATATGTAATACTTATTGTTAGTCAGTTTTTAAAGTGTTTGGCAAACTTAAGTTTATGTTCATTTTAAATTTATTAACAGAACAGACAATAACAAGTGTTCGGCATGAATCGGAACTAGTGTTAGGGCTGAATCGAAATTAACGATTGGTAAAAAATGCCGTGATAATCTATTTGCCGAACAAAACTCGCGCAGATTTTAAACTCGAAATCCGGACGTTTTCACAACCCATACACTACGCTGATTATGATTAGTAGGGAGTGGCAAAACAAGCAAATGCATATTTTGCATGCGGATATGCCATGAGCTAAAACGCTCAAAAATGGTGTTTTTACGTCTGTACGAACATTAGGGATCGGGTTCCTATAGCATATTTTTGCATATTTCGGTACTTTCGTGCATATTTGCATATCGATGCATATTTATATTTTGTTGCATATTTTGGGCTTTTTCGGTACATATATATGCGCATATTTTGGGATTTTTCGTGCATATTTTGCCACTCCCTAATGATTAGTTATATTGGTTCTGGTAAACATTTATTTCCGAGAGTTGTGATATTAAAAACTTTTAATTTTTTTCTTAACAGAAATTGACAAAAAAACTTCACAAAATTCCTGTCAAACAGTCCAAATACGTGAGACAGTCTGAATTGAATCGCTAGACGTCTTTTGCTCGCCACACGCGTATCCTATAGCTCACCAGACATTTAAATTTTTCTTAGCCCTACCACTCCCTTTCTATAACAATGAAGGGGAGTGTTGGAATTTACTCTCGCTACCTGGGTTAAATTTTTTAATAGAGAAATAGAATTAAAAAAGAGATGGACAATTGATTTTTGGCGGAGACAATTCTAGAGGCGTGCGCTTTATTGTCAATATAAAACAGAATGAGACTACAGGCTCCTCATTCTAAAATTAATTAAATGCGTCTAGCTTTAAAACTTAACTAGGATTGAGTGTCTCGTATATAGAAGGTCTCTCAAGCCGCTCTCGCATCCAGGCACTAGGCAATTTTAAAATACTCCTTAAACTAAAATATTATTCACGGTTTATTATTTTGTCACAAAGGCTAAAATATGAGAAAATTCGCTTCAAAATAAAATTTCCTAAAAAGGCCAAAATGAGAAACAAATAGGGCAAGATTGAAAAAATGGAAAAATATATCTCCTTGCCCTGAAAAATACATTGGATTTTTGCTTCTTAAACATTGGGAGATCGGGAAAAAATAGAAAATAAGCTAAAAATCCGTTTCTTTTACGATACTTTATAAATTATTCCAAATTTATAAGATAACTATTTATTAACAATTTTTAAATTAATTTATACAGATGAAAATGCGATTTAAAAATTATTTGAAATTATTAAACTTTTATTGTTTTTTAATTTTGATAATCATTTTCGTTGCAAATCTGTCGGTTAATGCTGTTCAGCTTCATTTAGGAAGAAACCATGATGGCTATCAAAAATTGGAAAAAGTGGAAGACATAGTTGGGGATGAGGCTCAAGAGATCTTGAAGATACATGCTGAGAATAATATTAAAAAAAGATTGGAGAGTTAAAAGAGGAAGCAGAAGAAGCTGGAAATTTGGAGAAATTTACGAAAGAATTACTTCCTGCTATTGAAATTCTAACTGATATTGGCAAAATACCAAAGTATATTGCTGAAATTAAAGAGATAAATAAATTAGACGAGAAAATCCCAACATTCTTTAAAAATAAATTAAATTTTGAAATGTTTGTAGATTATTTCAATCAACAATACCTGATGATAAAAACCGATTCAAAAAAGAAGTTTTCGAAGACAATGAAGGAAAAGTTTGAGGTTCTGTTTAGAGAAATTTTGATTCTTTTTAGCCAAAAATTAACCGCTTTTTGCCGCTTTTGAATTAACCGCTTTTGAAACCAAGAAAACTGGAAATTTTTGAAAAAGAGAAATTTTTAAAAAATTCCCACTAAAAGAAACCGAGGTAATAGTTCAAGAAACGAATTCGACTTGAATTTTGAAATTAGACTAATTTTTTTGAAAATGGGATTTATGTCCAGGATGCGAAATAAATATAATATAAACTCATATTCGTGCTCAATATATGTATTAACTCTGAAAACATCCACAATATAGAAAAAGCATTTCTTTCCTCATTTTAATCTAGAAGGATGAAAAAATGCGTAACACAAAACCGTCTATTACAGAAACCAATATTTAACCAAAACTGACGACTTTGTAGGTTTTTACAGTTAGGCTTGACCGAAAAAGTTGCTTGGTTTCAGTTAATTGAGATAGTCGGACGACCTTGCTTTAGACACAAATTAAACAATGTTGAGCATTCATATGTTTCCAAAATTTAAAAATTGTCAATGTTGTGTCCGCACTTGCAGAAAGAACATAAATAAAAATAAATAACCCGGCATTGGGTTGGATGGTGGCACATCGGTCTGGGCTCATTCCATTATGGTTCAATTCCATCTCCCATCCACAATTTTTCCACAGCATGAACATCGGACATGACAGTCAACAACTCTTCTAACTACCAAATCATATACACGGACTTTTCCAAAACATAAATAAGATCCGGCAGATCCGACTTTTAAATCATCTTGGCCCATTCCGGATTGCTAACAACCCTATATTAAACACGTCTATATTTTAGTATCACAACGAAATCTTTATCTAAAATTCGGAGTAAATCTTTAAATCAAAAATTTTTTAAGAAATTGAATGAGCATTTAGAAGCATTGAAGGAAAATGAATTTGCTACATTTTTGACAAACATCAATATATGTAAAAAGGGTAAACAGTTCCAAATACCTTACAAAAAGAACAAAAAATTGCTAGCATATTTAGCTGATTTATGCAAAATTCACGAAGAAGGTTTTACTGATTTAAACGTTAAATTTACATCAGCCATTGTTGATGTGTTTAACATGTTTAACGACAAGTTGGATAAAACTCTGAAGAAAGGAAATGATAAAGACAAATTCGATCTTTTCTTTGAAAATTTTGAAAAGGAGAAAATAGCCGATCGTGCTGTTTTATATGGTCATAAAGTTGTAAATGGAATTCGGAAAAAGTTGCATTCAAAAAATAGCAAAAATGTTGGTGGTAAACATGGGGAAGAGCATAAGAAGGAAAATTAAAGATGAAATGTGAGAAGAAATTTATTCGAGGTTTTGGAACAGATGAAGTTTTAATTTGGGCTACAAGCCAAGAACCATTGACCGAATGTACATACGTCCCCTTATAAATATATACCACATTACCTCATTATTAACACTCCTATGAAATCCACAGAATGATTATTCATTCTATTATATTTGACACCCTTATTTCGACACCCCTTGTCTTGAAAATCTGTGTTATTATCATCCTTCGGGGATCAACAACATATATATACCGCCCTTTATTAAACATTTAAACCTACATGATTATTTTTAAATTGACATATCCCTTGTCAATTTTATTTTTTTACTGAATTGTACTGTGTTACGACAAAAAATTAATAGAAAAGTAAAAAATTATTACATGAGAACCGCCGTTCTTATAGTGACAAATGACGATTTCCAAAGGCTCTATAGTTTGATCTGGCATCAAAACTTGAATTGTCGTACCACAAATTATGCAACCTTTTTAAATTTGTTTAACTCATTTTTATTTTGGATAAAAAATTTTCATTTTTTCATTATTAGTAGAATGTTTTTCATTGTAAAATTTATTACAACAAGGTTTTAGATTTTTTGCGAGTTTTCAGTATTATAGTAAAGTAGAAAATGAGAATTAATTATTTCAGAAACTACAGTGCGGGACAAAAGTATAGCCGCACCTGAAAAAACGGTGTAACTCCGGACTGAGTACGCCAATTGTTATCAAATTTCGCAAAAAAATTTTAGATTAAATGAAAAACATGATAACATTAAAACTTTTGGTAAGGGTTCGGCTCATCAACACAACAGAACTCATGTTTTTCTTTTCTAAAAAGTTGTGAAAAGGTAAAATATCAGTATAAAAGTATTCAAAATGGTCCACTTTTGCATTTTCCTGGATTTTCAGACCCCTGAAAATCGAAAAAACATAGGGGGGGGGGGGCCAAGCTGATTTTTGGGGTTAAAAATTCGATTATACATATGATACCTCATTCGAAAGGGCTCGACGAGCTGAGTTGAATGACAACAAAATCAGCTCGATTGGAGGCTTATAAACAAAGTTATGACCAACTGAATCTTCGCTGGAAAAACTGTTTTTGTGCTGCTACGGAGGGTAGGCCGGGCATGGTCTTCGCTACATAATGGCCGTGCTCGCTACGGTCGCCGCGAGCTACGGTCGCTCGCGGCGACCGTAGCGAAGCGGCGGCCGTCGTTCCGCTCGATATTCCCGGCTTCCTCCGCAGCGGCAAAAACTTGTGGAAGGTTTAAAAATAAATGGTCATACTTTGTCAAATCAAGTCAGATTTCGTTTATTTTGGTGTCATTCGATTCAGCCGTCGAGCTCTTTCGAATGAGCTATTATTTGCATATTCGAATTTTTGACCCCAAAAATCCGCTTTGTCCCCCTTATGGTTCTCGGATTTTCAGGGGTCTGAAAATCTGGGAAAAGTGCAAAAGTGCACCATTTTGAGTTCTTTTATACTGATATTTTACCTTTTCACAACTTTTTGGAAAAGAAAAACATGAGTTCTTTTGAGTTGATGAGCCGAACCCTAGCCAAACTTTTTGAAATTATTACAAGGAATTCAAAAAAATCAAGATTTTCAAAAAATACCAGAATTTTCATTGGTCAAAAGTATAGCCGCACTTTGGATTTTCATGTTTCGAATTTTAGGAAACATCTACAAAAATTTCACATAACATATTTATCGATACTAAGAAAAAATAAAAAAGAACTAGGCCAATATCTAATTTCAATGTCGAAATGAGATTATAGATATTTTACAGACCTTCTTTAAAACTTAAAAAAAAGTTTAACTAAATCGGTTAACATAAAACTAATTTTTATTGAAAATCAAAGAATTTCTTCAATTTTTATTAAGTTTGACTATTTTTAATTTTTTAACTTTTACTAAATTAAATCGCTATATTTGTTCATTTTAAAAATTTAATTATTTAAAAAGCAAAAACAAGGACTGCTTTTCGAATTCTTTGGCGTTTTGTCAATGTTCTTCACCAGACTCATCATTCAGATCATATGCCTCTTGGAAAGTAGGCTAACTACATAGGACGAGAGTGCAAGCCGAAGAACTAAATGGAAGAAATTTGGTCACCACCTCCTACGCCACTCAAAGCCACGATGCCGCCCTAACGGGAGTTATAACCAAAGTTTCAGAATTTGAGGAAAGATCTGCTGAAGGAAAAGAGAGAGTGAATTTCAACCTTTCAAGAGCCCGCCATGGATTGGTTTTAATGTTCAACCTGCACAAGCTGAAACAAATAAAAGTTGTAAAGAATTTATGGCAGAAGCAAAACAAAAAACAACAGTGGTCGGCAAAGAATACCTGAACGTTATTAGAAAACTAACTTACTTTATCTTATAAAATAAATATTGAGTAGAATAATAAGACCGAATATTTGTTAAGTGAGAAATCTAAACTAATAAATATTGCTAGCATATTCTATGGTATTATTGGAATCTTAGAAAATAAATATTGATCAGAATAATAAGACCGAATATTTGTTAAGTGAGAAATCTAAACTAATAAATATTGCTAACATATTGTATAGTATTATTGGAATCTTAGAAAATAAATATTGTTAGACAAAAAATGGAAATCTTTTATCTAAAACTAAAAATGATTTGAACAAATTTAGATATATGTCATATAAAAGGTGGTACGACAATTCAAGATCAGACTAGAAATCATTTGGAAATCGACAGTTGTCACTATAAGACCGTCGGCTCTCGCAATAGTTTTTTTTTACCTTTTTTGATTTCTATTTCCGAAGTTGCCGTAACACAGTACAATTCAATAAAAAATAAAATTGAAAAATGTATGTATATGTATGTGCAATTTAAAAATAACAATGTAGATTTAGATGTTTCAAGTAAGGCGGTAATTACCAGGACTGGTTTTTTATATCCTTCGCATATTTCGCATTTTTTCGTATTTTGCTTTATTTCGTATTTGCATTTCGTATTTTGCTTTAGATTTTTTGATTTCGCCCAGCCCTGGTATATACCTAGAGTGTGTCGAACAGATTTTAAAAATCAAAACTTGAAAGGTGAATGTAAATTTAAAAAAGGGACATGCGAACGCGAAAATCCAAAAAACCTAAAAAGCGAAACTGTCACACCTCGGTATATACATAGTTGTTGATCTCCGAAGGTAATAGTAGTAACACTCAGATTTTCAAGAAAGGGGTGTCGAAATTATTCTGGGGATTCTTAGAATGATTCATTCTGGGGATTGTACAGTGTGACAAGAAATGTTTAGGACAATTTTCATTTCGCCGTAACTTTTTTCTCGTAAATTTTTTTTCTAATCTCTATCATATAAATTTTATTTGATCTCAATATTTTTAATGTGAATAAAGTTATGCAATAAAATGTTTGTCCTAAACTTTTCTCGTCACCCTGTATAGGAGTGTTAATAATGAGGTAAAATGGTATATATATATATTTATATACCGAAGTATATATATTTATATACTTTATGTGCATTCGATCAATGGTTCTTGGCTTGTAACCCAATGCAAAATTCTCCAACTTTTCCAAAACCTCGAATAATTTTTTCTCACATTCCATCTTTAATTTTATTTCTTATGCTTTTCCTCATGTTTTTCACTCACATTTTTGCCTATTTTTGAATGAAATATTTTCTCAAAAACCCCATTTGCAACTTTTTTTAACCCCATTTGCATCTTTACTTTTAGAGCATGATCGACTATTTCTTGCTTTTCAAAATTTTCAAAGAAATTATTTAATTCGTTGTTATCATCTACTTTCTCCGAAGTAAATATAACGTTTAATCTAGAAAAACTTTCTTCGATACTTTTGCATAAATCAGGTTTATCTACTTGGGATTCTTTGTTATCTCTTAACTCGTTAAAAAATTTTTCTTTAAACATTTTACATTTAATGATGCTTGTCAAAAAATTAGTAAAATCATTTTTCTTCAATGCTCCTAAATGCCCATTCAATTTCTTAAAAAATTTTTTGATTTAAAAATTTAACCCCAATTTTAGATAAAGTTTTCAATGTGATAGTAAAACCTAGAGTTTGTGTTTAAATAGAGTTGGGACAACCGGTAATGGGCCGAGCTGGCAAAAAGTCGGATTCGGGTGGATCTAGTTTAGGTTCGGAAAAATTCCGTGTATAAGATCAGGTCAGCTAGAAAATATGTCTACTTTAAAACCAGGTCTTCGGTTTTGGTTAAATATCGGTTTCTTTAATAATCGGTTTTGTGTGACGCATTTATCTCATTTCCTCATCTTACTAAAAAAGATGAGAAAAGGAATGCTTAGCACAATGTGAGTTTTAGTTTAAATTATTTCGAATCCAGGACACGATTTCGCGTTGAAAAGACAATTAGTTTGGCTATAAAATTTTAATTTAAAAATCAAACTTCGACTATTATCTTGGTTCATTTATGTGGGAATAGGTGATTTTCGCGTTCGTATACCCCCTCCTTTTTCTTCCCCAAAGTACATATTAAAAAATGGTCAGTCAGTCCAAGGTTATGTAGCGGGCCGACGTTTGTCGGCCCGAAAATAGGTAAATACTTTAATATAGATGGAAAAAAATTAAAAATGCAAAAAAACACAAAAAATACGAAAAAATACAAAAAAATAAAAAGAAGAGAAGAACATAAAAATAATAAAAAATTAAACAGTTGTCATGAAAAGTGCAAAATGATAAAATTAGTAAAATTAGAGTTAGTAAAATTAATTAGTAAAATTAGATAAAGCCCACGCAAAAGTTAAAAATACATAATTTTTAGTGACAGCTGATCTATAAGTAATTGAATTACCTGGAAAATAAAGAAGAAAAAAGAAAAACAACTATTTTAATGAGAGTATAAAATTTTAAAAATATCCTTTTGTTTGTTCACACATTTTCCTCCAAAAATAAAAATTAAAAAAAATATATATTGTTTGGATTAAATTAAGGAAAAATTTGTAGAATTAAATTTGAGAATAAAATTTTGAAAATTAAATATTGAGAAAACACGGGTTATAGAACTCATCGAGCTGTGTCGAATGACACCAAAATCAACCCCCGTTCTTAACATTGAGCCGAGATACATAAAAAACACTGCGCAAAGCGAAAG